TCACCGGGCTTGTGCTGGCTGGGCCAGCTCCCTGCAGACACCTGCGCCTTGTCCCCGTGACCGAGTCATCCCGGTGCCATCCCCATCCTGGTGCCATCCCCATCCCCATGCCTTTGCCCGTCCCACCCCATGTCATCCCCATCCCTGTGCCATCCCCATGCCAACCCCGTACCATCCCCATGCCATCCCCATGCCACCCCTGTGCCTTTCCCCACCCCACGCCCACGTCATTGCCATCCCCATCTCATGCTGTCCCCAAGCCCATGCCATCCCCATCCTGGTGCCATTCCCATGCCTTTGCCTGCCCCACATCATTCCCACCCCTGTGCCACCCCCAAGCCCGTGCCATGCCCACACTAACTCTGGGCCAACACTGTCTCCCCACCCTCACTGCTACCGGACCTCTGCCATCTCCAGGCCTTCACCATCTTTCTGCTCATACCCATGCCACCCTCTACCCACACTGTGCCACCTCTCTGCCCCATCATCTCCGTGCCCACGCCATGCCCATGCTGTCCCCATGCCCACAGCATCTTCCCACCCACAGCATGCCCACCCTGCCTCTGTGCCGGCTCCATCTCTGTGCCCACACCATGCCCACGCTGTCCCCATGCCCACATTATCTGCTTGCCCATGCCATGCCTGTGTTGTCCCCATGCCCACAGCACACCCTACTCAAGCTGTGACACCTCTCTGCCCCATCATCTCCATGCCCGTGCCATGCCCATGCTGTCCCCTTGCCCACAGCATCTGCTTGCCCGTGCCATGCCCACCCTCCCTCTGTGACCACACCACCTCCATGTCCAAGCTGTGCCACCTCGGTGTGCCATCGTCTCCATGCCCACATCACACCCATGCTGTCCCCATGCCCGAGTATCTGCTTGCCCATGCCATGCCCACCCTACCTCTGTGCCCACAACATCTCCATGCCCACGCTGTGCCATCTGTGCCCCAGCATCTCCATACCCACACCATGCCCACACTGTCCCCATGCCCACACCATCTCTATGCCCACACCATCTCCATACCCACACCATGCCCACACTGTCCCCATGCCCACACCATCTCCATGCCCACACCACACCCATGCTGTCCCCATGCCCACAGCATCTGCTTGCCCATGCCATGCCCACCCTGCCTCTGTGCCCACATCTACATGCACAACCTGTGCCACCTCTCTGCTCCATCATCTTCTCGCCCATGCCATCCACATGCCCACACCACCTCCGTGCCCATGCTGTGCCACCTCTATACCCCATCATCTCCATGCCTATCCTGTCCCCATGCCCACATCACCCTCTTGCCCACACTGTGCCACCTCTCTGCCCCATCAGCTACTGGCGAATAAAGGGACGATGGCGAGCCCTGCGTCTCGCTGCTCTGGGTGCGGTGCCAGCCCTGGGGACAGGGGGGACACGGGCAGGGCTGGGGACCGGAGGGGACACAGGCAGGGCAGGGCTATGGCAGACGGGGGCGGTGGGGGTGGCAAGATGTCCCCAGCGCCCCAGCGTGATGGCACCCCCATGGCATCCTGCGGGGCCACCTGCGTCATGAGTGCACCAGGCCTCTGCCCCACGGGGTGATGCCCGCTGCCGTACGGTGTCCCCAGGGGCTGGGGGCACCCGTGGGTGCCAAAGTGACCGGGGAGTCCCAGTCCTTGCGTGAGCACCCAGCACCAACATGGGTGGGAGATGGCCCGTAGCACCAGCCTGGCTGCCAGCCCTGGGTCCCCAGTGTCCCCACAACCCCAGTGTCCTCACGTCCCCAAATCCCTCATGTCCCCAAATCTAGTGTCCCTGTGCCTCCAAGGTCCCCTCATCCCCGTGGCCCTGCAGTCTCCATGTCCACATGTCCCCAGTGTCCCCACCCCCCCGCTATCTCCACAAGTTCCTGATGTCCTCAGTGTCCCCAAACCCCCACTGTTAAGTATTGCAATTTCATGTGCAGCAGGGAGTTATAATCCACTCAATTTTACAGACTGGTAAGAAAATGAGAGAGAGGTAACTTGAGCAATTCACACAGTACAGTCATGAGGATGTAGATCTGATTTCTTTATTCTCTCTGTTTTCAGAGAGTTCTGGATTCCTCCAGAACGCATTCTGCATGGTTCTTCAACATGACTGGTAATGCCAAATCCAGGCAGAATATCACAGATTTATAGCTGTCTGAAAATTAACGTATAGTTAGCAACTGTGCTCATGCAGGGTTTCTCGTCAATGGTTATAGTCAACTCTATTCACTGAGAGTCTGTTCAGCGCTAAAGAATTACTCCAATGCTAGCTCTTAATAAAAATATTTTTCACCTACATTCCACCTCCAAAAGAAAATGTAAATAGTAAAAAGGTGAATAAATGGCAACAGAACTATGAAAGAACAGAACTGAGCCATATTTTGTTTGTTCCTTCTTTCCACTGCCTATTGTAAATCTGAATTGACTTAATTGGAATTAAAATATCATCATGAATCACAGATACTGAAAGCTGTTAACTTAATATGGAGAAATATACTATTAATCTTTTTTTTTTTTTTTAAAAAGATACTGATCTATCACCTAGTCTAAGAAAAAGCTTTGAACTTACTGGAAATTCTGCCAAAGGAATAAAAGTCATCTCTTTCAGCAGTGCAAATACTTTTATCTTTACTAGATATACACACCTGATTATTACAACTCTGATTAATGATATCTGGTTCATTTCCATCTGGCCATTAATGCATAGCCTCAGCCATATGTGTGCATTTGCTGGTTAGGGGTCTTTTTGTTTGTTTGCTTGGGATTTTTTTTGTGCTTTTGGGTGGTGCAGGGAGGGAAGAGAAGAAAGAGAGGCAACTTGTTCCCTGAAAATGCCCCGTAAGGGATTTGTCATCCCCTCCTTCAGCCCTGACAAAGAATTCACGCTCCAAAGCGGAGTCTGGGGGGGAGATGGGATGACCCTTCATCCCGACCGGCGACGGGGTGGGGGGACGGGAGAGGGCAGAGGAGAGCAGCGCCTGGGTCAGCCCCGCCGCCGGGGGAGCAGGGCAATGGCACTTCGCTTGGAGAAGAAGAAGAAAAAAAAAAAAAGAAGAAAAAAAAAAAAGAAATAAAAGCCACATTTTTGGAAGAATGAGGCAGGAGCCAAGTGCTGCCGGGGGGGACGGAGCGGCTCTGGGCCCCGCCAGCCCCCTTACTCTATCAGTTCCACGTAATTAGCAGGGAACATGCCGAAGTGGCCATCGGGACCGTAGCCACGCCACCAGCCCTCGTCGATCATCTCGATGTTGGTGATGATGTTCTCTGGGTCAAATGAGATCTCGGTGTCATCGGCTGGAACGAGACAGAAGGAGGGAGGGGGTTAAAAACCAACAGATTGGGTCAGTCAGTTACAGATATGGGAATATCTGGGTAAAACAGGGAGGCAGGGGCGGGGAGAATCACAGAGTGGTTTGGGTTGGAAGAGACTTTGAAGACCATCCAGTGCCACCCCCTGCCCTGGGCAGGGACACCTCCCCCCAGCCCAGGTTGCTCCAAGCCCCGGCC